TGTCACCATTCCAGTCTGCATCTGAGTAGCCTATGAAGTTTAGATCCATGCCTATATCAGATCCATCATATGTCAGACCCCAATCTTTGGTAGTCTTCAGATATCTGAGAACTCTCTTGGCTGCCTCCCAGTGGCATCCTTTTGGATTTGCACTATAACAACCCAAAACTCCAGCAACATATGCTAAGTCAGGTCTGGTACCTAGCATTGCATACATGATAGACCCCACATACTTTGATATGGCATAATTGGTCCATTTTGAACAAGCTGTTTCTTGTAGATTGTTTCATCATTTTCAGGATCTATAATAGACAATTGCTGTCTTGGAGCCATAGGTGTTTTGGAACCATTTTGAGTATCCTGCATTCCATAGCGCTCTAAGACCTTGCTAATATACTGGGCTTGACTTAGACGGATCCGACGCTGTTTGTGATCTAACTAAACGTTTGAATGCAGGCCAATCAGAAGCTCCAGCCAATTTGACCTTAGAAGTCTCCATAGCAAAAAACCTAGATGGTGCAGAATATTTTCTAAATGCTTCTAGCTTCAAGAGCGAGCAGTGAGTCTTGATAAGAGCAAGTATGTTGTCAGAGCTGTAGCGCTCCGGGGCCCATAACCTGTCAAAATCTGTAAATGTGCGGAAAGCGCAGTAACCTCAGTCTCCCGCGTATATGGGATCAAAGACTCTATTAACTACCTGTAAATGCGCGGAAAGTGCAGTAACTAAGTACAGTAAGTATTTATATAAGTTAATTAAGTAAAGTAACATACCCTCAGTCTCCCGCTATATGGGATCAAAGACTGAGGGGCAACGGAAAAGAGGTGTCAGTATATATGTAAATGTAATGTACCTGCTGACACTCCCGGAACTCCCATGGAGATCACTATCACGGGCCGGAGGCCGGGGCGGACCGCCATCAATTCCTGACAGTGGGGCAGTTGGCTCTGGCTCACTGCTGTTTACTGCTGGTGCCGAGGTAGCTGCGGGACGGGGTTGTATAGACCAATAAGCCAGAAGATTTTTCTGGAAATAATCAATGTCTGTACAGTGTAAAGTGACCGCAAATTAACATACGATGGGTTTTGGCTGCGCTGATGTCCCAGTTTTTGTCGTTGTCCCAGAGTCACCAGACGGCGCTGAAAGCTGAATCCAATACAGTTTAGTGGATGGAAGGGAAGGAGAGCAAGTTTCCGCACCTCAGACTTTGGCATACACAAAACGGCCCGTGCTTTCTTTGTTATTCCTGTCCTGTCCCTCCACTGACTTGTTCGAGATCTTGACTCCATTGGGGCACTGGCTGGAATGAGATCGCTGTTTTCGCGACGACGCTTCCGTGATTGAAGCTGCCATGACCAGGTCAGCACACCGCAAATCCATGAGAAATCGAGGCCATGCACCTGGTCATCCGTCAAGAATCTGCGCTTCTTCGATGGCAGCTCATGGTCTGATGCGACAGTGCTTCCCTTGTCAGAATCCTCCACTTCCTCCTCCTCCTCTGGTATATAAGCAGGGTCTTGAGCCTCGAGACACGCGTTGGCCGTGTCGTTCTTGGTCTTGACAGCTCTGAGCGCGCCGCGACACCGTCTTGAGATGGCGGGCATGAGAAGAGAAGTCAGCAGGTTGCCGGGCGGGCATCATTTTTTCGGCGTCCGTCCCCAAAAAAAGTGAAACACCGTGGGAAAATTCTCACCAAGACGTAAATCGTCATATTTTTGCATGCTGAGTTCGACAAAAATAGTTAAAAATTCTACAAAAATTCTCCCGGCCGTACCGGCTGGCCTAAGAGAGGTGACTTGGTGCACTGTATGTTCGTCAAGGTGAAATACTACTAATAGTGGTGCCAGGTGAGGCTTAGAAGTTTCCCTTCAATATCCACTATCTCAGCTAAATTTTATAGTATAGGATACTTTTGATGGCAGAGATGTCACACTTTGGCTGACTGTCACACTAGTGTCACATTGTTTACAAACACCCTCTTCCCAGAATGCCTGTTTATAAACAAATAAAACAGGGGTGTTTCTAAACCAGTTTGTGATGGCTTCGACACCGTTTCTCTTTACAGCAGTTTTGGCACCGGTTTGAGGAGAGTAGCTTACAAGAAATGTGATTTTCACATCTTAAATCTTGTCGATTCAAAATTTCCCATTGGGTCCCAAGATAGAGTAGAATTCATCAGGATCAGTCCTACTAGCTTCTGGAAAAGTCATCCATTACATGTAAGACACTACAACAAGCATCCCAGTTAGATCGAGGACCATAACGAGCCCCAATGTCTCATCCAACGCCAACCCTTGAGGAGGCCCGCGGTCGGCATCGAGGCAGCGCGCCGCCTCGCCCTCGAGATGCAGTCTCCGGAACTGTGATTGACCATCAGAGTCGAGAAAGACGAGCGCGAGCCGTCTGTCCCTAGTCTCGTCCCATTCGTAGGCTGTGGCCGGCGGGATGGGCAACGACCTGCAGGACATATCGCCCGGAGACACCCATCGCATGCACAAGCGGCTTCGAGGGGTGGCCATGGCATATCGACTGCGGGCCCTCAGGCTGGGGCAATAGGTCCGCGGTTTCGGGGATTTCAGCGCCGCTTACGGCGGGGACGGCCGGGGGTGTGGGCCAGAAATGCGTGAAGGTGAACGAGGCGCCGTTTTTGTTAGACCTGAAGCCGCGCCAGGAGACGCCGCAGACGCCATAGTCGGGGCGGACGACCAGCGGGGAGTAGTGCCACATGCTGTGGGTATTGAGGTTGTGGCGGAGACACGCCTCCCGCTCTTCTTCGCTGAGCAGGATCAGCTGGCTGGTGGAAGGGTCGAAGTGGTGCGGCCCGCCATCGAGGGCGATGCTGTCCACGAGTACGTCTTCCCGCGGGGTGGTGCCGAACATGCGGAGGCGCAGGAGGCCGTCCGAGACATGCACGGATATGGCCTGTGCGTCCAGTTCACGCTGGGCAATCTAGAACAGATTCAGAATGAGTTGATTTTGCCAACAGGGGCACGGACCATGCCGTGCCACAAGTTCGGGATGCGCTTTACCGCAGCCTGTGGGTCAAGCGTCCAGTAATAGAACGCCCGGCCTGTGGTGAACCCAATGATCTTCTCGTTGAGGAAGAAATCGGTGGGCTTGTGTGGAGCCATGCCAATTGGGGGAGATATAACCGTGTTGAACAGGATATTGTTCATATTCGAGAAGTCGAGTTCAATCACAGCGAGGCTGGGCTTGCTCCTAAAAAAAACAAGGGTCATGATGTCAGCCATACGGCCCATTACACTTGTAATTGGCTTTTGCTTACCTGTCTGGCAGACGTACTGTGGCCCCCAGCATCGCCCGCCCCTCGACGCTCACACACGCGGGGCCAACGACGAGGCGAAGGCCTGGGACCTCGGTCGTGCCAGCACACTCCCCCCGTCCGCGCGTCCCAGCACGAAATCGCGTGATCTGAGTAGTTAACGGTGACCACGAGGTACGTGCCCGGAATGCAGAACATGGGCCACTTGCCGATGTGGAAGGAGCGTGTCCAGGCTGGGCGCGGCGCGTCGGAGTGCCAGTTCTGAAGTAGCCTGTTGGTTTGTCGGGCTAGTATTTGAAGCCGGGCGAGGGGCAGAGTGGATATGCTCTCGTTTTCCGCGAGGGGGAGCGGGTGCAGTTGGGTGTAGCGGATACGGCGGACTGCGGCAATCCAGAGGGTGCGGTAGTCCTGTAGCGCGCGCAAGGCGCGACACGTCTACAATCGCGTTGACTCGTCAGCTTCAGATTTGCATGGAGGAAAAGGTAAGTGCGTACTGCCAGAAGGCTTATGAGGTCGCAGATGTCCAGCTCTTGCCCCAGTCTGAGGAGCACGTCGTCTGGCCAGCCGGCTAAAGAGGCCATGCGTTGGCAGAAGAAAAACACGTTGTGTCACGGATCACGCGCCGTGACGCGACGTCTCGGATGACTCCTGCGTGACAGCCCGTCACTTGTCACACCGTTTTTCGACTCAGGCTGACGCCGAGGCTGATGTCAATATTAATCCCGCCACCGATGCCGACGCCGATGCCGACGCCGACGGCAACGCCGACGCCGACAACAGCACGTCGCACGCGACGTGCTACGCGCACCCGGCGCCCGTGATCGCGCATGTCGTCGGCACGTCGGGCCGCCACGTCCTGCAGCTCGTCGGCGCGCCGCACACCCGGGGCCCCGAGGTTGCCGGAGCGGCCCGACAGCTGGCGCTGCTGTTCCTCGACCGGGCGGACCGGCCGCAGCTCCGCATGCTGCCGCTGGAGGGTGCGGCGGCGCGCTGCAGTGATGGCCTTAGGGGCCCTAAATGCACCTTTTGTATGGTTTAGGGCCTATTTAGGCTTAGGGCCCTAATTTAGGCCCACTTGTGTAGGGCCTAATATTCAAAAAAGGAAATTTATTTCTATTGTCATTCTGAGTATTGTATTATGAATATAGTATTCAACCAATGGATAGACATGAAAGTTGGTTAGTACTGCTCTAAGAGGGCATTAGTAGTAGTAGGCAGCCAGCAGTATATCAACCCTCCTTAGCATACTATTTTATATCTAATCTCAAAGCCACCAGCTGATAACAGAATTCTTTATTGATCATATTGGCAACCCAAAATCATTATATCCTTTTCTGTAAGGGAGTTTTTATTGGAAGGTAAGATGTCGCATAATATTTTGATGCCATCATAGGGCTTAACTAGGGCCTAAATAAATTCCTGGTTCAATTTAGGGCCTAACCTTAGGGCCCTAATAGGCCCTAAATCCTTAGGCCCTAAAACCCTAAGGCCAACACTGGCGCGCTGTCTGGAGTACGACCGCTGTCCGCCTTCCCACGTGGTGCGTGGGGCGTATAGCATCGCGTTCGATGATACGCTCGGGCTGGTGATGTTCTTGGATGCGATGGGAAGTAAGTATTCTACATGTGTGCATCGACAGGAGTTGAGTGTAATCGGAATACGATCTCTCATTCAATAACAGTAAACAAGAAGTTTGAATTCAACTCAGACGCGCGGCGTTCAATCGAAGAACGGGAGGATGCCTGACACGTGCGCTGGCAGGTCGACCTCCGGCGCAAACGGGAGCTCGGTTGAGAGCCCGTGCACCTTCCCGCCGATCTGCAGCGCGATTAGCAGCCCCGGGGCGGCGATCAGCGTTGTGGTGTCTCCTGCCATTGCTCGGTGACGCTCCCTTTAAACAGACAAGTAAAACACGCACCCCAGTCCCCGTCGTCCCGCTGCCACCGCATGCCGCCGTCGCAGGGGCCGCCCGGGCCGAGCTGGAGCACGTGCACGCCCTGCGCCTGGAGGGCGGCGACGGCGAGCGGGGTGCGCGGCGCGTCGCGGTGCGCGATGTGCAGCTGCCACGTGCCCGATCCGCGCGTCGCGGCGGTGGCCCAGAGGAGGCAGACGTACGGCGTGTCGGCGAAGGGCATGCTGTAGGCGGCGCCGGGGGTGCGCAGCGGGGGCGAGCGCTCGTCGGCGAGGCCGGTCTGCGGCTTAAGTAAGTATTCATTGAGGAGGGGAGGAGGGCGGCGCACCCCGACGAGCCCGCTGCCCTGTGGCACCGGTGGCAGAGAAAGCTCAGAGTCAACTTGAAGCTCCGACTCCGACGACTCGGAGTCAGAGTCCATCGTGCTTGAAAGGCCGCTCATTCGCCGTGGGTTGTGGGCGGGGTTGTGGTTGTCGTGTGAGAGAACGCGATGGCGTCACTAGTGACCGAGCGTGCTCTCAATGGTGGCGTCAGCCTTCTTTTTTGCTTCTTTTGGGGGCAGTTGGGGGGCAGGTTTAGCGCCTTCGAGAGTAAGAGAAGCCCACCAAGTATGGCGTCTAGGCCAGAGTTCGACGTGGGAAGATAAACAGCAGGCAGACATTGGAGGGCGGGGCTTGGGCGAGGCATCGACCGGACACGACGGCAGGAAAGAGGCAAAAAACACGCGGTGTCACAGGCACGAGAATCTCCCCGGCAATCATCTCGCGTGACACTGCGCTGTCACCTCTTCGCACCTCTTCACTTCACCACCATGTCAGTCGGCTGCGCATGCCCCATTGGCCGGACGACGGGCTCCTGCGCGCGAAGGCGATCGACGTGACCCACCCCATGCCAGTGGGCGTCATCCGGAAACAATACCGGTACCGGTGGAGAGAGAGGGAGAAAAAAAAAAACACCAGTGACGGCGGGTCACCATGCGCGTGGGCCGTGACACAACGTGTTTTGTCTCATGTCCATTCCTGACGGTGATTGGCGAACCGGACGGCGGAAAGCCTTTGTCTACCGCGCGCAACGACGACGAGTACTTTCCTCCTGCCAGGCCTACGCTGGCCCACCGTCGCCCACCGTCCTCCGGGAGGGCTCTGGGCATGGACAGCAGCCATCACCCATCCACGCGCACGACGAACGCCAAGACTTGCGCGTCCCGCCCCGTCTTCTGCAAAACCCTCATCCAGATCCTCTCGGCCTGCATTTCCGCCGCTGCGCTGTCTCAACTCTAACACTCATCTACGGAACGGTCCTCCAAATCCCGGGCGGGACATCGTCGTCTGCAGACAGAGAGTCGGCCAGAGCACGCCAGAAACCGGAGGTCAAGCCCGCTGTTGCGCTTCGTTTATTGCCCACGGGTAAACAAGCCCGCTCACTGAGACCGGCCGCAGTCCTGGCCAAGTCTGTCAAGCCCCAGTCTCGAATCCATCGCCGCGTCTCCCGACGAACTGTCCGGCGTGCTACGGCCTCGAAGCGCCGCGATTGGTCATCCGTGTCAACGGCGACCGTGACGATCGTCGGCAGGGGATGTAAACACGAGATTGCCGGGACTACACTTGGCAGCCTCGTCCCGCTCACTGGCATCGCCGGACCTATAAGAGCCGGGGTAGTGGAGACGAAACGGGTGGTCTCACCATGATCGCCCTCAACGTGCTCGTCCTCGCACTCAGCGCCGTCTCCGCGCTCGGCAGCCAGATGGCGCCTCGCGGGCCCGGGTGCGTGTTTTTGTGGTTTTCCTTTCGACGCCGTTGCTGAGTTTACTGCGTTTTGTCCAGCCGTGTTTGCGGCACCGAAATCTCCGCCGCGCAAAAGGACGCCGTCGAGGCCGACTTTGCCGCCCGGCGGACGGGGCTGGCTGCGACTGCGAAGAAGCCCAAGTCCGTGACGATCCCGACCTATTTCCATGTTATCCGCGGCGCGTTGGATGACGGGAACGTCCCGTGCGTCGAATGCGCATCCCACGAACGGTGTTCTAATGCCTTCCCCAGTGATTCCCAGATTGCTGAGCAAATGCGCGTCCTCAACGCCGCCTTCGCCAACACATCCTATTCATTCGAGCTCGTCGAGACGACCCGCACGGTCAACATAAACTGGTTCGAATTCGCGTCGAACTACGAGGACGGCATCTACGACCAGACCGAGATGAAGACCGCGCTGCGCCGCGGCGACGCCAGAACGCTCAACCTGTACTCGGTCGGGTTCCGCGAGGGGACAGCGAATATGTTTGGCCTGCTCGGCTACGGCACCTTCCCCTTCAGCTACGAGGAGGCGCCCAAGGACGACGGTGTCGTGGTCCTGTACAGCACTCTCCCCGGCGGCACCACGGAGCCCTACAACCTGGGTGCGAATTTGGTTCACGAGGTCCGCTAGGCTTTTCCTCGTCGTCGTTGTTACTCATACTCCCCAAGGTCGGCCACTGGACGGGCCTCTACCACGTCTTCAACGAGGGAGACCTTTCGGGCACATGCGACGGCTCGACGGACCTGGGTGCGTCCACTTCCTCCTCCACAAGTCGTTGAGACGCTGACCAGTTTTCACAGTCGAGGACACCCCGGCGCAGCGCTCCCCAACCAACGGCTGCCCCGAGGGCAAGGACACCTGCCCCGACCTCCCCGGCCTCGACGCCATCCACAACTTCATGGACTACAGTACCGACGACTGCCTCAACGACTTCACGCCGGGCCAGATCGAGCGCATGCACGCGCAGATGGGGGTCTACCGTGGGATCTGAGTAGTTTTTGGACTGGACATTATTCAGACTTTTGTATCACGGACAGTAATATTGCATTTATCCAATGGGTTTCGTATACTCGCCACCTAAATACAACTTGGCAGGTCCGCGTCAGCAAGCAAACAGCCCCCCTTTTGCCAAATGAAGAGAGTTACGAGTACAAGCCTAAGAAGGTTTATACATAGTTTCACAGAAATCCATCTCCTCCACGAGCCGCAGGATCAGGTTCGTCCGGCCAGTGCAGCTCAGAACCGTCGTACAGAAAGTCTGAGTCAAAAAAGGTGTGTGTGTGTGTACGGATGAGTCATCCTTCCGATCGCGCGGCTGTCGCGCGTGATCCGTGACACAACGTGTCTTTCTTTTGCCCACTCATGATCTCTTTAGCCAGCTGGCCAGACGACGTGCTCCTCAGACTGGGGCAAGAGCTGGACATCTGCGACCTCATAAGTCTTCTGGCAGTACGCACATACCTTTTCGCTGCGAACTTGAAGTTCAATGACGATTGTAGACGTGTCGCGCCTTGCGCGCACTGCAAGACTACCGCACCCTCTGGATCGCCGCAGTCCACCGTATCCGCTACACTCAGCTCCATCCGCTTCCCCTTGCCCAGAACGAGAGCATATCGAGTCTGCCGCTCGCCCGGCTCCAAACGCTGGCGCGCCAGACGAACCGGCTGCTTCAGAACTGGCACTCCGACGCGCCGCGCCCAGCCTGGACACGCTCCTTCCACATCGGCAAGTGGCCCATGCTCTGCATTCCGGGCACGTACCTCGTGATCACCGTTAGCTACTCCGATCACGCGATTTCGTGCTGGGACGCGCGGACGGGGGCGTATCGTGGCAGGACCGAGGTCCCACACCTTCACCTCGTCGTCGCCCGTCCGTTTGTTGGCGTCGAGGGGCGGGCAATGCTCGGGGCCACAGTACGTCTGCCAGACAGGTGAGCAGAAGCCAATTACAAGCGTAGCCGTATTGGCTGGCATCATGAACCTTGTTTTTTTTTAGGAAAAAGGCCAGCCTCGCTGTGATTGAACTCGACTTCTCGGATAGGACCAACATCCGTTTCAACACGTTGATATCTCCCTCAGTTGGCATAGTTTCGCACAGCCCCGCCGATTTCTTCCTCAACGACAAGATCATTGCGTTTACCACAGTGCGGGACTTCTATCACTGGACGCTGGACTCGGAGGCTGCGGTGCAATGCATCCCCAACTTGTGGCACGGCATGGTTTGTGCTCGTCTTGACAACATCGACACATTCTGAATCTGTTCCAGATTGCCCAACATGAACTGGATACACAGTGCATTGTCGTCTATGTCTCGAACGGTCTCCTGCGCCTCCGCCTGTTTGGCACCACCCCTCGTGGAGATGGACTCGTGGACAGTTTTGCCCTTGATGTCGATTCGGACCCTGTCGATCCCGCTTCCACCTGTCAGCTGATCCTGCTCAGTGAAGCAGAGCGTGAGGGATGTCTCCGACACAACCTCAATACCAATAGTATGTGGCACTACTCCCCACTGGCCGTCCGCCCCGACTATGGCGTCTACGGCGTCTCCTGGAGCGGCTTCAACGCCAACAGAAATGGCGCCACATTCTACTTCACGCATTTCTGGCCCACACCCGTCCCCGCGCTAAGCGGCGCCCAAATCTCAGAAACCGTGGACCCATCGTCTCAGGCGAGGGACTCCGGGCCACAGTCGATATGCCATGGCCACCCCTCGCAGCCGCTTGTGCATACGACGGGTGTGTCAGGGCGATATGTGCTGCAGATTGTTGGCCATCCTAGCGGGCGCAGCTACGAATGGGGCGAGATCAAGGACAGGCAGCTCGCCCTCGTGTTTCTCGACTCTGATGGTGAATCTCAGTTCCGGAGACTGCATCTCGAGGGCGAGGCGGCGCGCTGCCTCGAATCAGACCCTCGATGCTGACCGCGGTCCTCTTCAAGGGTTGGCGTTGGATGATACATTGGGGCTCGTCATGGTCCTCGATCAGACTGGGATGCTTGTTGTAGTGTCTTACATGCCAGTGTAATGTATTACTTTTCCAGAAGTAGGACTGATCCTGATAAATTCTGCTCTATCTTGGAACCCAAATTGAACCGACAAGATTCAGATGTGAATTTCATATTTCGATTGAACGCCCGAACTTCTTGTTCCTTTTATTGAATGAAAATCATAGATCATATTCTGATTACCCTCAATGATGCACAAATGTAGCATACTTAACTAACAACTCGCGCCAGAACATTTTTTTTTTGTTTACATATATGAAACCACCGTCAGCGTCCCCATCGCATCCAAGAACATCACCAGCCCGAGCGTATCATCGAATGCGATGCTATACGCCCCACGCACCACGTGGGAAGGCGGACAGCGGTCGTACTCCAAACAGCGCGCCGCCTCACCCTCCAGCGGCAGCATGCGGAACTGCGGCCGGTCCGCCCGGTCGAGGAACAGCAGCGCCAGCTGTCTGTCCGCTCCGGGGACCTCGGCGCCCCGGGTGTGCGACGCGCCGACGAGCTGCAGGACGTAGCGGCCCGACGTGCCGACAACATGCGCCATCACGGGCGCCGGGTGCGCGTAGCACGTTGCGTGCGGCTTCCCGTTTTGGGTTCCGGCGGTGTCCTCGTCATCGCCATCAACATCGGCGTCGGCGTCGGCGTCGGCCGGGCCGTCGGCGTCGGTCCGCGGCATTGCCTCCGGGGCCCGGAAAAAATGCGTCGCCGTGATCTCGGGCCCGCTGTTCGCACTGAACTGGCGCCAGCCGACGGCGCACACGCGGTACGCGGGCCGCACGACGAGCGGCGCGTTGTACTCCATGACGTCGTACTTGGCGTCGCCGTACGGGCGGAACACCGCCTTCTCGTACTCGGTGTCGAACCGGACGATCGCCTCGAGCGCGGCGCCGCGACGGGGGACGCCCCGGTCGGCCCGCAGCGGGACGGTGTCGGTGAACGTCGCGGGCCAGTCGGTGAGGCTGAAGATGCGGAGGCGGCCGAGTCCGGGACCGGCACCGGTACCGGCAGGCTCGGGCAGGTGGACGTAGCGGGAGATGGAATGGTACGGGGTCATCTAAAACGGGATGAGTTTGTCAAGGTAAGTGTTCCAAATCCACAAGGCCACCACGCACCTCATCCGCCCACGGGTTGGGAATATTGCACACCGGCGCTTCGGGGTCCAGCGTCCAGTAACAGATCCGCGAGGCGGAGGCCAGGCCGAAGAGCGTTTCACTGAGGAACAAAGACTCGTCCGTGTGGGCGTCAGAGTCCGCGTCCGAGTCAGAGTCCGAGTCCCCGGTTAGCCGGAACGGCGGTGACATGATCGGCTCGAAGGTGACATGCGCTCGGTCGGTGAAGTCCAGCACAAGAACGGCGAGCCGGGTACTAGTAGTATCGTCTCTGGAATTCCACATGAGCTACACATTCTTCGTCCAAACTGCAGTGGGGAGCACGTACGCGTTTGGAAGGACCGCTATCCCTCCGAGAACGGCCCGCCCATCGTCCCGTAGACCTGAGGCGACCATGGATATTCTCAGATGCGGGACGTGAATCGCGCCCACACGCTGCCCCGTCTGCGTGTCCCAGCACGACACAGCGCCGGTGCCCTTCTCGACGAGGACAACAAGATGTGTCCCCGGAACACACAAGATCTTCCCCGGCTTGCCAATCTCCAATACGCGCGTCCACGTGGGCCGAGGCGCCTCGGAGTGCAGGTTCTTCAAGAGCCAGTTTGCCCGCCGCACGACCTGCTGGAGCCGCGCGAGGGGCACTGTTTCAGTTTCGGCTTCGGTGAGGGGGAGTGGATGGAGCTTGACACGCTGAATAAGCGCCACCGCGTCGAGCCAGAGCGTGCGGTATTCTTGCAGTGCACGGAAGGCCCGGCAGGTCTGCCAATGGCCGTCAGCAAGCGAACGGGCCCCTTTCGTCAATGGAGAGGTCCTCACTGCAAGAAGGTTGATAATGTCACAGAGGTCGAGGTCCTTCACGAGCCGCAGGAGCAGGTCGTCCGGCCAGTGCGCCAAAGAGGAGCTCGGAACCGTCGCCATGAAAGTCTGAGTCGAAAAAGAGTGTGTGACAGTGATTGCATGTCACGCAGGAGTCATGCGAGACGTCGCGCGTCACGGCGCGTGATCCGTGACACAACGTGTTTTTCTTCCGCCAACGCATGGCCTCCTTAGCCGGCTGGCCAGACGACGTGCTCCTCAGACTGGGGCAAGAGCTGGACATCTGCGACCTCATAAGCCTTCTGGCAGTACGCACTTACCTTTTCACCCCTGCAAACTCGAAGCTGACGAGTCAACGCGATTGTAGACGTGTCGCGCCTTGCGCGCGCTAGAGGACTACCACACGCTCTGGATCGACGCAGCGGAGCGCCTGCAGCACGTGCAGCACCATCCGCTTCCTTTGGCAGCGACCGAGCGCATCACGAGTCTCCCTCAAGCGCGTCTGAAAACACTGGTCCGCCAAGCCCATCGATTGCTTCTCAACTGGGAGTCCGACGCGCCGCGTCCCTGTCTGGACACGCTCATTCTCGGTCGGTGCTGGCGCGTACCTCATTTGCATTCCGGGGACAAGTATCTCGCCGTCATCATCGGCGGCAGCTATGAGCGGGTGATCGTGACCTGCTGGGATATGCGCTCGGGCGTGCGCGCCGGCGAGACGGCGGTGGAGCACTTCCGTCTCCTTCAGGGGCGTGTATGTGCCCGGCCCGACCCCGATCGGGCGCTGTTGGGCGAGCAGTAACGAGAATAGTAGGAGTGGGACTCACCAAGTAGGACTGAATCCTACTTTGATGAGCCCAGTCCTACTTTGATATGATAGATGGCATGTGGACGCTGCCAACAGTGCATAGCCGAGTGATAAAACGACACTCAAGATCACAAAATCAATCAAACACAAATGAATGATGCTCCGCGCAGCGGGCCTCCGTGGCGAACGGCAGCCCGCGGCAGCGTGGGGTCCGGGGCAAAGCCCTGGTCGGGGTCCGGGGTGGAAAACCCCGGCCGTCGCGGCCGGCGCCGCCACCCCGTTAAAAAAGGTGCTTATGACATTGAAACAGCAAACAAGTCGCCGGAAGGAGGTCCCACGCTCCGCGCAGCGGGCCCCGCGGCGAGCGAAAGCCCCCGGCAGGGTGGGTCCAGGGCGAAGCCCCTGGTCGGGGTCCGGGGTGGAAAACCCCGGCCGCCGCGGCCGGCGCCGCAACCCTATTGATGCGACAGTTGTCGATCCATCAACGTGTGGTTGATTTGCGGGAAGCGAGTCCCATTCCGGGGCCGCGGGAGTAGGACTGGGACCCATCAAAGTAGGACTGAGTCCTACTGTGCGAGTCCCAGTCCTACTATTCTCGTATATACTCCTGTTGGGCGGGAGGGGGGCAAAAATATTTCGCCGCTCTTAGGGTGGGCGGCTCGGAAGCGGCTGGTAGGCGGCTCTGCGGAAAATGAGTAGACAATATCTTTGTCATTACTTGACATAATAACGACATGCCTGCGCCGTTCGATAGCCCCCGACGAGCCCTTTCGAACGCGCTATCAAGGGGCTCGAATGGTGGCTTCGTCGTCGAGCAATGGCCTTAGATTTTTTGGGTGGGCGGCTCGGACGCGGCGGTAGGCGGCTTTTTGCCTGGTTTTCGCCGCCCTCTTTTTGCGGTGGGCGGCTCGTGGCAGTGCTGCGGCGGCTGTGGGCGGCTCTTGCACAATTGAGCGCGGCTCTTGTGTGACAGAGGGCGGCTCCCACCCAAACCAGGTGGGCGGCGATGAACACGGCCGCCCACCCCAGTAAGCGGCAGCTGCGGCCCCGCTCTCTTCCATTGACCTCACTCCTCGTCACCACAAGGCCGTCGCCTTCATCGCTGGCCACTTCTCCGGGTCGTGAACGCATGTTGCGTTGCCGGGCCGTCGTCGTCGTCGCCATCAACGTTCGCCGGCGGCGTCGACGCTGACAGATGATCCATCGATGATGAGTCATTCTCATCACCGCATCTTGTCTTCGCTCCACCACCTTCACGAGCGTCATTTTGGCTGCCAACAACAACGTCAGTGCCTACAGCACAGGGGCCGCCCGCCGCCGCCGCAGCTTGGTGAGCGGCCCGGTGAACCGTGACTAGTGCTCGATGCTTCTCGTCAACAACGCCACCGCGCACTCCTGTTCCTAGCAAAACTCACAACGGAGTCATCCATCTGTGTTCGCTGGTGTCTATGGTTCGGCAAGCTGGCTCTCACTCTAATCTATGGCGGCGAATGGTGCGCGGCCCAGTCTGGCAGTGACTCGGAGCAGCTCGGCGAGCAGTGCGCGACGCCGGGAAGGGCAACGATGGCTAGTACGCCACTAAGTGGCAGCTGCATCGACCTACGTCCCCGTTGTCACGCGGTGTGGTGTCCAGCGCATATGACCGCCGCGCCGCGCCGTCTTCACCGCACTCGTCCTCGCTGCTGGTTTGGCAACGTGCTCAGCAGGGGAGCAGGCTTCCCTGGTATACGGACTTTCTCGTGCGCGTCAAGTCAAGCTGTGCTGTGGTCGTGTCCACCCGCAATGCAGACCCGGATCTCCGCCTTTGCGCGGCCGCTCCCGTAGGCAACGTCCCTGGCCCCTGGGGACATCCCGAATGGTGGGCGGCAGCATGACGTGGGTTGGGCGGCTAGGTAGGCGGCTTGGAATTGGTGGGCGGCTCGGTGGGCGGCCTGGAATTAGCGAGGGCACGCTTTCTGGGTGAGCGGTGGATACCACTAAGCGGCAGCTGCATTTTCTTGCATCGACTTACGTCGTCGTCGTTACGACCACCGCGCCTCTTATCCGCGCTCCTCCTCACTGCTGGCTGGGAAACATGATTAGCGGAAGAGGACGCTGCCCAAGCATACAAGCTGTACTGTGGTGGTCTGCTCGCGGCACTGCAGACCCGGATCTGGAGATGGTCTGCTGGCTGACAGGACTCCAAGTCGTAGATGCCACTCGAATCCTAGATGTTCTCAACGAGCGGTGTTCTCGAACGCAACACAGAGAAACTCCCCGGGCTTCCTGAATCCTGAACTGCGAGTATCCTTGCGCACCGTCAACGACACCCTCCAAGCTCCCGCGTGCCCACAACCCGCCTGCCATGGACGCAGAGCCCACCGTCTCAGTGTGTGACGCATACCGCACTATGAAAACGGCTACCGGGAAGGCTCGATGGCAACGGCGCAAAAGCGGCGGCTGCGACTCCCTTGCATCGACCTATGCCCTCGTTCGGAGTCGTCATCGCGCGACGTGGTGTCCAGCTCACATGAATGCTGCGCCCGCCGTCTTCGGCGCGCTCGTCCTCGCTGCTGGTTGGGCGATGCACTGTGGCCACTTCCACGGGGCCTCAATCATCCTTGGCCCGGGCCCCGGTCTCGTTGGCCCACGACTCCTACTTGGGCCAGCTTCGGCAAAGACGCTGGTGCTGGGCAGTGGCCCGGACTCGAACAGCCTCGATTAATCGACACGCTTTTGGCGGAATGGAACTGGCCATATGAATGATGAACGGCTTGGTACGGGGCTTGCGGTAGTGTGCGACGGTGCGTTAAGCACTGGCAGTTGCTCCCCTCACCAAATTGGTGGTGTCGATGACCTAAAATAGCCACTGTGAAACGAAGACTACAGCTGTTAGAGTAACATCTTCGCTGTTGTGTAGGATATATAAAAGGCTATTTATCCCTCTCAAAATTCCAGATTATTTTTCTGCAAAAATCAGTGCCGCCCACCCTTGCGCGGCTCAGTACAGCAGCGCCGCAGGAAGCCAGGGGCCGTGAAAAAGTGCAGTATTACACTGTGGCGTCATTGGGTGCCCTACCCGCTCACAGGCATCCATGTTTAGCGCAGTTTGGATGTCCTGTGGTGACGGAGAGAGGTGGTGAAGACTTTGTGTTGGAGGGCAGCTAACACATTAACTGGTTGAATTCTTCAGTCTTACTGAGCATATTGCTTCAGTAAGAGTCCTATATAACAATATTGTACACCAGTCATATCAATTCCTGGGCTACATACCAAGAGTAAACAATCCCTAGAAAATATTGACATTACTTAGAATGGAAATAGCAGCACAATGACGACAAATTATGTGTTGGGGTCTTCACTACGATGTACAGAACACCCAAGAGTATGCAATCCAACAAAAAACCCAAAACCTTAAAATCGAAGCACTTCGCCGCCCACCCTGGGCGGCGCTCTGGGCGGCACGCTAACATGGCCGCCGCGGCCCTGAAGGCAACAGAGACGACGCCAGCTGTCAGAGTGAGTGTCTGGCACGCAGATCTATCGTCTAGTGCTGCATAACTGCAAGGAATGACACTTGGCGCCAACGCCAGTAGCGTTGATCGACGACGGTGGGCGGCGAAGTACATGATCTGACGTCATCATGTACTTCGCCGCCCACCCGCCGCCCACCTACTGGTGTGACTGCCGCGGCAGCGTGACAAAGGTGGGCGGCGATGGGGCTAGGTGACGCGGCGGTGGGCGGCTGGTGGGCGGCGGAGGGCGGCGAAATATATCTGCCCGCGGGAGGGTTGGCCAGTGAGTGACCGCAAAATTCGTATGAACCTGGATTCAAGTTTAATGTTTTCGTGGCAGGAGACTAGCTGTCCTCATCGTGCACATCGCAGACAGCGCACATGTCCGCTTCGAGACCGTGATTTCGCCGCCGCTGGCGATAACCAGAAACCAGGACCTCTTCCTCAGCGACACGCTCTACGGCTTCGTCGACGTGTCACGCATATATCACTGGAGTTTCGACCCAGCGGAGGCGGTGCGATCAATTCCCAATCCCTGGACCGACCTGGTATGTGTTCTTTTCTGCGCAGTCCCATCCGGATCAATTGATGCTGCTGCAGCGAACTGGATGGTTGCTCCGCTATGTCCACCTACCCGACCGCCACTCCGGCACCCTCGGCCGGCTCCAACTTCTCGGCACCAGCGAGCACAGAGAAGCTATCGTTGCCAGCATCTCGCTTGACGGCGACGTAACTGTGGCCACACGTCAAGCCATCCAGCTCGCCGACACCGAGCAGGCCGCGCTCCGAAACAACACGCTCGA